ACACTACATACACGATACACACACACACACACACAGACACATACACACGACACACACATTCACATACACACACACACACATAAACATACCACACACACCCACACATGACACTACACTCACACGACACAACATACGACATACAGCACACACACACAACATACACATACACACACACACACCAACACGGTACGGAGCCACACACACATACACATACACCACACCACATTACACTTACTACACACACACCACATACTCACCATACACAACCACAACATACAATACACCTACACACACTCACACACTACATACACATACACACACTACAGCACACACATACACATACCTCACAACAAGCACACACATACACCCCATCACACACACACACACACATACACTATACAGCACAACACACACACATACCACATACACGACACACACAACACACATACACATACAAACCACACACACACACATAACACATACACGTACACACACACACACACATACACATACACACACACACGCTAGCTACCACATACACACACACACTACACACGATACAACATACACACACACACAACACATACACTATACACACACGGACACTCCACCTACAGCATACACACACACTATACCCAACATACTCACACTACACACACAATACACTTACTACACACACACTAACTACACATACTCTGAACACCCTATGACTACATACAACACACGACACGACACACACACATAGCACAACACACACATCACACACACATACTCATACACCACCACACACACATACACATATCACACTCTACAATACACATACACACACACACACACATACACACCTCACACACACATACACATAATACCGACACACACACACATACACATACACACACACACACACACATAACATACACACACTCACACACACATAACACATAACATACACCATACACATACACACACACATACACATACACACACATACACATACACAATACACACACAACACACAGACACACACAGTACACGATACACATACACACACACACACACCACACACAACACTACCCACACACACACACACACACCACACACTCACACACACTACTACACCCCAAAAAAATAAACCCCCCCCCTTACTCCTCACCGCCCCTCTTCCCTTTATCCCCCCCCCCCTCGCGTCTCCCCGCCCACCCCCCCCCTAAAATGATGCATCATCATCGACCCCAAACACTCCCCCACCCCCCCACCACCCAGTGTAATATGCCTCGTATCTCCCGCAACCCCCCGAAACTCCACACGCCGACACCCTCACCCCCCCAACTCCCGTGGGGCGGCTCTGACCAGCCCCAACCCAAACCCCACCTATTAAATTTGCATGTGCCAATAGACCCAACCCCATACCCAGGACACGCGACCACACTCTTCAGATAAACCGGTTTCCCCTGACCCATACACTAAATAAATTACCCTGCACACACTCAACAGAACAACTTTACCCAAGACCATTCGACCTCCATTCACTCCTATCTAACACTCACACGCACGCTTGCTGGAAGACCCAATCCCCATGCCCACAAAACCTGCATCCATTACCCCCACCAACCCTTTTCGAGTACGTACCCCTACCACGCCTTCCTCCCCTATAGATTATAAGCTTTCCCTGTCATTCTCCAATGATCCTCTCTCAAATGACCAAACCACCTCAACAACCCCACTTCTGCCCTCTGACTAATACATTTTATTAACTTCAACACCTTTTCCAAATTTCCACAACTCCGAATTTATCTGCATAATATTTACACCACACATTGCCCTTACAACAGGACCATCTTCCACTGCCTCCCAACAATTCCTCGCTGCTGCATTTACTCAACCCAACATTCAACACCCATATAAGATGTTAGGTACTACTAACATTGGACCCCCCCCGCATAGACGATGGCATCGCATAGCGATTTTTATTCCTTGCATAACGATTACATTTACCCAAAATTATTGCCCCGCATACGATTAAAAAAACACCCGACATACCGATTTTCGTCGTCCCGAAGACGCTTCCGAATGTTCCTCACAAGTGTCCGGGCCGACCATTGTTTACCAGCCAGCCTCCAGGTAACACCAATCATACACTCGAAAATTTCGTATTATTAACAGTGTATTTTCACGGTGGTTGTTTTTCTGGAAAATAAGTGACATGTCCCTAACAAGAAAGCTTCTAGTGCCCAACCTGTGGTAAAAAGGGTGAGAATTAGTATGGAAATTAAAGAAGATTTTTGAAGTTTGGGGCTAACCCTGAGAAAGCCTATGCCAGTTGTGGAATCCAATGTGCCTACTCAAGATTAAAGAATGTGTGCAATTTGTTTTGAAACAGCAAACCTTTATAGATGAAAATCACCCTGACACAGCTGTTGCAGAGCGTGTGCATTGTGACATTTCAATGAACAATGTGTATATGGCCCATTTTTAGGAAAGTCTTGAAGCAACGGAGGTACAGAGCTCTATGGACAGATTTTGTTAGTCGACAGAAGGTCGTGACTCTGAAGCAGGTTCCATAAGTTGGCATTAAAGAATGGAAGTAAACCCCAGAAAAGGACTTGCTACTCAAGTCCTAATGGAAGGGGTGATTCCCATCTAAACAGTAAAAGAAAATGCTCTCTCCCCTCCACTCCATCCCGATCACTTCATCACCAGATCTTCATAAAAGTAAGTGTCATGTAATTGTGCATGCCTTTTTCAGTTTGTGTGTATTAAAATTAACATTTCATGTGGTAAAAAAAATTTTTTTTCATACTTTTGGGCGTCTTGCACTGATTTAAATTTTATTTCCAATTATTCTTGATGGGTAAAATTAATTCGCATAACGATTATTTCGCATAACGATGAGCCCTCTTGCACGGATTAAAATCGTTAACCGGGGGTCCACTGTACTTTTCATACATTCCCTTCTTTGCCTCCATAGATAACGTTTTTCAACTCCACATATACCTCAATGCACCACTCTCCTTTTTTCCCTCATCAATTCTATGATTAACCTCATCCTTCATAAATCCATCCGCCGACACGTCAACTCCCAAGTATCTGAAAACATTTACTTCTTCCATACTCCTCCTCCCCAATTTGATATCAAATTTTTCTTTATCTAAATCATTTGATACCCTCATCACCTTACTCTTTTCTATGTTCACTTTCAACTTTCTACCTTTACACTCATTCCCAAACTCATCCACTAACCTTTGCAATTTTTCTTTAGAATCTCCCATAAGCACAGTATCATCAGCAAAAAGTAACTGTGTTAATTCCCATTTTGAATTTGATTCCCCATAATTTAATCCCACCACTCGCCTGAACACCCTAGCATTTACTTCTTTTACAACCCCATCTATAAATATATTAAACAACCATGGTGACATTACACATCCCTGTCTAAGACCTACTTTTACCGGGAAGTAGTCTCCCTCTCTTCTACACACCCTAACCTGAGCCTCACTATCCTCATAAAAACTCTTTACAGCATTTAGTAACTTACCACCTATTCCATATACTTGCAACATCTGCCACATTGCTCCCCTATCCACTCTATCATATGCCTCTTCTAAATCCATAAATGTAATAAAAACTTCCCTACCTTTATCTAAATACTGTTCACATATATGCTTCAATGTAAACACTTGATCTACACATCTCCTGCCCACTCTGAAACCTCCTTGCTCATCTGCAATCCTACATTCTGTCTTACCTCTAATTCTTTCTGTTATAGCCCTACCATACACTTTTCCTGGTATACTCAATAAACTTATTCCTCTATAATTTTTACAATCTTTTATCCCCTTTCCCTTTATATAAAGGGACTATACATGCTCTCTGCCAATCCCTAGGTACCTTCCCCTCTTTCATACATTTATTAAACAAAAGTACCAACCACTCCAACACTATATCCCCCCCTGCTTTTAACATTTCTGTCATGATCCCATCAGTTCCAGCTGCTTTACCCCCTTTCATTCTACGTAATGCCTCACGTACCTCCCCCACACTTACATTCTGCTCTTCTTCACACACACACACACACACACACACACACACACACCACACACCACACCACACACCACCACACACACACACACACACACACACACACACACACACACACACACACACACACACACACACACACACACACACACACACCACACACACACACACACACACACACACACACACACCACACACACACACACACACACACACACACACACACACACACACACACACACCACACACACACCACACACCACACACACCACACCACCACACACCACACACACACACACCACACACCCACACACCACACACCACACACACACACAACACACACACACACACACACACACACACACATATATATAATTATACACACACACACATATATATAATTATACACACACACAGACAGCGAGGGGGGGGCAGGCATGTGCGTGTGTACACACACACGTACATATACATACACACACTCGATAGGTGGAGAAGACATTTTATCTTGATTTAAACATGGTGATGGATGCGAAATAAACACCCTTTCCTATATACAGTAATACATAGGAAAGTGCGTGTGTTTGCGCGCACATGCGTAAGGTGTGAAGTTTATTCTTTTCCTTGCTAAGTTCATGCTTTGCAAGAGGTGGAAAGCTGTACTATGGCTGTCCAGTTGTCAGAGGTTGAGAAATCTGCAGTATGCGATTCCCAAATTTCCTGCATTGAGAATATATAATTGCATGTGATAAGTTTTTGCATGTTCTATTGAATTTTTTTATTCCACTTTTTTAATCTTGTTTCAACAATATCGCCACATGAAATCTCATTATGAGAGGGTTAACTGTATTAGTGTCTGCAAATAATCAGTCCAGCCCTATACTTTTCATATCCATGTTTTGTGTAAGCTAAAGTTAATGCATTATTTTGTTTTCAAAAGATTACTATTGTCCCATCCTCCACAGAGTGAAGACGTACTGGTTCCAGGCAGTGCTGCAGCTGCTTTGCAGCCAAGCGAAGCAATTTCACAAGCAGCTGATAAGGTAGATGATCAGGATTCTCTGATTGTAGCAGAGCTTAACAAGGACCAGCCTGAGGGATACTTAGAACTGACCAAAGGAGAATTTGAGGACAATCTTGAACCCAAAGAACTGATTAGAGACACCCAGTCTCAGGAATTGTTCCATGGTTTCCAGGAACAGTCTGTAGATCAGGTGGTCTTCCAGGAACCATCTACAGACGAGCTGGTCTTCCAGGATCAGCTTGGAAAACAGCTGGACTTGCAGGGTCAGTCTAGAGAAGAATTTGCAACCTTGAAGGAAAGACCTCAAGACAAACTGGATCTTTCTGTTGATTTGGAGAAAGCACAAAGTAAATTAATGGATGGTTTACAGTTCCAGCCTAAAGAGCAATCCTCGCCTACAGAGGCTGATCGGACGCTTGTGATGGAGAGTTCTTCAGACATCCTTCAGACTAGCACTGAGAGGCCTTTCAACTTTGAAGTCACTTCCGATGGGGCAAGTTTGATGGAAACTTCCATGGTCAAAACTCCCGATGGCATAGGCAGCAGCATCGAGCCCGCTAGTCCCCACGGTTCCATCAGCCCACATATTCCCGGAAGTCCGAGGTCTGTGGAAGGTTTTGTCACATCTGTAGAATTAAATGCTCCAGAAGAAAGCTTTGGAACCAATTTTGCCATTAACCAGTCTCAAGATTTGTTTGTTGGTGCTGTGGACCAGCCATCTGGTCCATTTAGTGTGTATGTGAGCTCTTCCCCAGAACCAGCTAGCTTGGACCCCTCTCTTCAGACAACCATGGATATTGTTAATGTTTCTGAAGGAGTCGCCAATGGACTGGTGGATGATGACATTAAAGTATCTCAACCAGAGGATTTCTCTCCAGTAGAAATTGTTCATGCCCAATCCACAGTGGAAGTTGTTGCTCCTCCATCCCCTGTTGATAACAGAGAGCCAGAAATGCAGTTTACTATTCCTGAGCAAATGCAGGAACTTTCTTCTCCTGCACAGATACCTGCAGATCTCTCCCTGTCTTCGGACATTACTTTTATTCCCGAACCTGTAGTGGAGCCTGTGGCGGAGGTACCAGTTCCAGTTTACATAGAGGGAAATACCCCAGTTTCAGAGGGTGAAATGGAAGATCTTGATATCTCAACAGAGGAGATAAAAACAGAAGAGATAATTTCTGCTAAAGATCAAATTCCTGAAATTGAGAAACATGATGACTTAACAGAAGATACAAAGATAGAAGAAATGGTTTGTATAAGAGATCAAATTCCTGAAGTTGAGAAACATGATGACTTAACAGAAGATACAAAGATAGAAGAAATGGTTAGTACAAGAGATCAAATTCCTGAAGTTGAAATGGCAACAATTTCAAATACTGATACTGTACCTGCAACCAAGGATGAGACACGAGAACTCTCGGAAGTTGTAAAAGCTCCTGTTGAATCTGAAATGGATGTTGAAATAAAATCAGAGACTGTGGTTTTAGATAAAAATGAAACTATTACTACAATTGACTCTGAAATAATTAATGCTGCTACTGTGAATGGCATACTCGATGAGTCACCAGCAGTCAATGATGTGGTCATTTCTGCTGTTACTGAAACTGTACCTGTAGATGTTACTCTTGCTGATGGAGAAAAAGAAAGCGAGATGCTGAAGGTTGATGCTACTGTGGCAAAGTCAGACAAAACACCTGCTAAAGGTACTCCTGTCAAGAGTCCTTTCAAATCTGGAAAAGCTACTCCAGGCCGAGCAGTACCAAGCAAATCCACTCCAACTAGAAGTCCATCAACAAGGACAGCAGAAAAGAAATCCCCAGTTACTCGAACCACAGCTGTGCCAGGCAAGCCTGCAGTTGAGAAGAGCAGTACTATTAAACCAGCAACAACAAAACCTGTGACCAAACCAGCTACGACCAAACCTACTCTGACAAAACCTACTAATACAAGACTTGCCACAAGGCCCACTCCAAGGACTGCCACTGCAAGGCCACCGACAACTACACCACCACCACCTCCTAAGGCTATGGAAAAGAGAATCGCCAAGCCTTCTACCCCAACAGCACCAAGAGCTGCATCAAGCAAGCCAAGTGCTGCTGCTGCAGCAGCAGCAGCAGCAACTGCAAGCAAGGTTACACCAGCACGTCCTACCCCAGCTGCCAGAACTATGACCAAGAGGCCTGTCACTGCTCCTAGCAAGACTACAGAAAAACCAGATGATGGCACTGTTAGAAAAGCAGCACCACGACCGACTACTGCTCCTCGCACCACCACAGCCACCACCAACACCACCACCACTACAACTGCACGCAAGGCAGCGACTGCGTCTACCAAGTCAGCGGCTGAGAAGGAAACCAAAAATACCACAAACCGAATTCTTTCTACATCAAGACCTGCCCCAAAACCTCTTGCCGGAACAACCAAACCCACCCCGAGCAAAACTTCAACAGCACGCACTACATCAGTTACTAATGCCAAGGCTACGAGTAAGGTTAATGGAACTTCTACTTCCACCAGCAAACCTAAAACCACATCTACCACAAGATCAGCTACAGCAAAATCTACTGGTAAGGGAAACTTGCACATTTTTGCACTGTGTACTGTTATTTACTAGTTTAAATCTACAGTGTAACCCCAGTTTATGTATGATCCGGTTATCGTACAATTCAGTTTTTGACTTCGACAAAATTTTCCCCATTTTTGTACATCCGCTCGGAAATCATCTGTACCACACACATCTGCCTGCCAGCGGGACGCGGCCGCTCATGCGTTTGACTGTCTGCCTTTGTTACTCGTTCACTTAGTGTCCCCTCTAGTCTTAACGCCATAGTAATAATAATGCGTAATAATAATCACTCTTGGGCACATTAGATGTCTTATTTTACGTTAATATAGACATTTTTATTAATCCATCTATATTTTCTTCAAATTTGTACAATAAACATGTTACATAGCATATAAACGTGCAATGTTTATATGCTATGGAGGGGCAGTAGTCGGGTGGAGGGAAAGCATTACGTTTCCTCTGGTCCAGCACCAGAGAAAATGTGTGAATCTGCATTGGCCCAGTCACCCCCTCCTTAATACATAACGCTTTTGTTCACAATTCTCAGCATGAATTATTCATTACTTCTCCCTTTGTTTATGATGGCATCTAAAGGTAGTTAAAATGATTACTCGGTGAACATGGTATGTCGATGGTAATATGGCTCTGAGCCGCATTAAATATCGTGTAGCTATGTAGGTAGGTGTATGTATGTAGCCCAGGCAGACTACATACCTACATCTACCAGCTACCTATACCTGACTTCCTTCAAATAAATACTACTTGCCTCTTGCCCTACATTAAGACTACAAATATTTTAAGGTAAGTAATGAATGTACTGTGTGTATTTTACTTTTTATTGTTTTTTAATGCCTAGTTCTATTACTTAAGTTAGTGTAAACTTGACAACCCTATGCCTGTTGTGGAATCTATTGTGGCTTTGGGGAAGTCCAGAGGGTTGGATGTGAGTGGCCAGGATGTGGAAGAGTTGGTGGATGACCACAGGGAAGAGCTGCAACACTAGTTATTCTCTCTAAAATTTATTTTTTGTTAATATTTTTGGGTGTCTGGAATGGATTAATTGGATTTACATTATTTCTTATGGGAAATATTACTTCAGTTTTCATACAAATCGGTTTTCGGCCGACCTGGAACAGATTAAAGACTAAAACCGGGGTTGTATTGTACTAGTATTTGTGAAGTACTTGACCTGTCAGTGATGCATTAGATTCGTGAATACTTAAGGTGGTTGGTAAATCTTAAAAACTTCTACTTAAATATATTTTTTCATGTGTTTTTATTAGTTTTAGACTGTGTTTTGAATTTAGGACTCCTTATGTGGCACTGTCACTTAGACACTATCAACTGATATAAGATAACCAACAGTAGTGCCTGCAAAAATAAACTGGACCTTCCCTTTATTATTACAAGAAAACATTAAAAAGCCATAATGTAAACATAGACACTAATACTTTGTGCTTTCATTAATATTTTTTCTTCCCCTTAGCCTTGATAACCATTTGAAGCTGTTTACACATGCTTTTACTCAAATTCCTTAAGTAATCAATGAATAATTGGTTCACCCAAATGTCCTTTTATCTCCTGCTGCAGGCATGATATAGATGAAATTTGGCAAGATTCCATCTTAATGATTTTCCAGGCATACTGTATAGGATTGTCTGTTTCCTGGACACTGCCAAGCCTTATGGCAGGAAGCATTATCATGCATAAAGGTGATGTAGCTGTGATTTTAGAAAATATTCAGCAGGTTGTCCTGGGAAGGAAGTACAAACCCCCATGACAAAATAAATGTAGCACTAAGGCAACCCCCAGACCATAACTGATAGTGGGTGCTTACTGTATGTACTGAAATGTGGATTCATTAAACCAAATGACTTGTTTTCCAGCCATCAATACTCCAATGCAAATATTTCCTGGTAAACTGCAGGGACTCCTTCATATGAGACATGAGTAAGGGTTTTCTTGTAGCATGATGACTTGGCAGGTGGAGGCCCTTTAGCAGGAAGAGATTAATGCACTTAATTGAGCAGCTCAGGATGCATTTTTGAAATGTGATGGTCATATGGATTTCTGCTTAGTGTTGTCGTCCTTGGCTGTCCAGTAGTATTTTTTGTAGGGAAAATGACATCTGGTGGGAGTCCTTAGGCAAAGGGGACCAGAGAGCAGAGTTTGTCTGTTGTTTTTGGTCCAATTTCAAGTGTAACTTTATGCTGTTAAGGAGCAGTTTGTATCCTATACACATGTTTGCATGGACTTCTTGTTGCAAAGTTGCAAGATATTGCAAAATTGTATTTATCATAAAACCCTTCCTTACCCTACAAAATTGGTAAGATGTACAATGTTCGTCAACATCAGATGAAAGATAGTTAAATTATTAGATTTCAAACTTTTTTTGCGAGAAATGTCAATAGATTGCATTATAAAAAAATTTGAATTTTTTTTTTTTGGTGTTTTTTTTGAGAATGGGTCAATAAAAACAAAATGGTGAAACATATTGCAAAACAACTTTGAATACTAAATAGAACCATCATTCATCAATATTGTCTGAAAAAATCATGACACGCCTATTATTACTCTCGCAAATAAGGGCAACAAATGTCAATAACTTATTCCCGAGTTATTGAAGTTTTTGTTTCTATAAAACTCTATGGAGATAAAACACCAAATTTGAGTGTTGCAAACCCCTATCATTGTTGATAACCCAGAGGCAACAGAGCAGCAGCAACAACTCTGTGCTCTTCACTTTAGTCGTCACAGAACTTGTTTAGAATGAAATAATCAGTAATTTAGAATGAAATAGTAGTTTCTGGAGTAAAATAAAACAAAAACACTAATTGCCAACATGTCTTCTTGATGAGAGCAAAAACATAAAAATTACATTTATGAAAAACATACTTAGAAATATGATAGAAACGAGCTGATTGCATCAACATGCTGCCAGAATTGCACAATTTTTTGGTAAGAAAACCTAAAATTCCAAAAATTTTCAACTTCAATTTCATGATCTCTAAATAATTTGTCCTGGTCCCCCTTAGGCAGCCTTAACACTATTATGCTAAACTTTGCTTGTCCAGTACAATGACAGATTTCTTTAAGGTAACTTTCTTAGTTTCCAAGCCAATGTAAGTTTTTTTTTTTTTTCCCCTCACTATTCAGGTTTGAATGACCTAAATTTATCCACTTAGCCCAAAATTACATGGCACTAAATACAGCCCCAAATCCTGGATACCATTTTATACTCTAATGGATTTTACAGAGGCCAAGGAATAGTTCAGACCTCAATCCTACAGAGTGCCTGAAACATGAAAAAGGTCAAATGGTCAAGGAAGGCCAAGGGGAAGATGAAATATTAACCTGTAAACGGTCCAAACGTATATATACGTTTTTTCAACATTTGAAAGTATGTAAAAATAGATCTTTGTGTTTTTTTACATTTGAAAATGTGTAAAAAAAACTTTGATCTACTTTTTTTATTTGAAAATATGTAAAAAAAAAACGTAGATCTACTTTTGTAGCTCTACACGTGAACGTAGATCTGCTTGGACTGTTTATGGGTTAATGAAAGTACCAATTAGTAGTCCTATGTTTATATGGTTGCTTTTCAAGATTTTTGTAATAAAGAGGGGTCAAGATTATTTTTGCAGGCACAGTAATAGGTCAATATACTGAGGACAAGCCTGGTGGGCAATGGTATCTAGTACTGCAAGTTTGTACATGATGTATACTGTATACATGTTCTGGGGGAAAGCAGAAGTGCCTTATTTAGGTTGTGATGGTTGTATGTGCCTGTGTGCAGCTAGTACTAACAGCCAGGTTGGATGGGAAATCAGAAGGGAGGGTTGGATTCAGGCCTGGCTGCAAGGGTAGAACTCTTGAAACAGATCAGATATATCAGAAAAGTGCTCTGGAACTACCCTTCTTGAATCAAATATGATTTCTCTCCCTGGTGCTGAATGACTTGTGTAATATAGTATGCATGTTCTTGTGTATCTTTGCCCCAATATTTAATTCTACTAGATTGATATGCATTAAAATCTTAAAATTTTTAGTTTTAACATGCCTAGCATTCATTCACTTTTATTTCTTTCACACTTCCCACACATTCCTTTTCTCAAAGTGTTCTAGTTTCCTCTAACCTTTGTTTTTGAAACAATGAAGCAATGTTCTTAAATTTTTTCCCCCAAGTTGTCAGTCTCCCACCGAGCTAGGGTGATCCAAAAAGAAAAAGAAAAAAAATCCCAAAAAAGAAAATACTTTAGTCATCATTCAACACTTTCACCTCACTCACAGATACAACAGTTTAGAAGCATATATAAAAATATATAACATACCCCAGGTAATACCCCTCCAAACTGCCAATATCCCAAACCCCTCCAATGTATTATAAAGTTGGTCTCGTCTAGCTGGTGTACGGTCATGGCTGTCTTGGTGGGTGGAATTACTGCAGGAGACACAGAAAACTGTGTCCAGTAATTCCACCCACCAAGACAGCCACAGCCATACATCAGCTAGATGAGACCAAGCTGCCACACAGCTTGGTCACCAAGGAGAGGCTAAAATATTAAAAATATACCATTGTTAAAAAACATATTGATCATGCATCAACCAGTATTTGAAAATTATGGAAGGCTCTTGGTTTCCTTTATATGGTCACTAGCAAACTTACAACAGGGTATTGTAAAGTGATCTTTCTCGTGGGTGGTGAGGAGGGGGGGGGGGGGTATTACCAATGAAGAAAACTATAATTAGTATTGAAAATAAAAGTGCCACATGTTAACATTTGGACAATTTATGGGTAATTGGATGGTGTAAGTGGTTTTGCTGATAGTAAGAGCACACTAACACCTGAGCAAGGTAAAAGGAAATGCTTTTTAAGTTGTGGAAAAAAAAGAACCCAACAAATACTGAATTTTTTTTTTCCTAAGTTCAGAAGTTTGCTCCTATTAGCTGTACCTCAGGTGTTTCTCCCCCCCCCCCCCTCTTTTTTTACTGATTAAATTGCACAATTTGTAGCTTAATTTTGTGATTACAGGTGTTACAGCGAGGAGGACTGTGGTCAGCAAAACGAAAACTTCAGCCACAGGAGGAAAGGTAGAATCTGTTAAAGCAGGAAAGGCAGAGGTTATAGAAACTATCCAACCTGTAGTCAATGGAGAGAACAAGATTGCTGATGAAGAGACTAGCGTAGAGGTGATTGAAAAATGTGTTGTAGAGGACATAATGCAGGCCTCAACAGAGAAGGTCTTCACAGAAAGTTCACATATTATGACCACTTCTGAACAAGTGGTGACCACGGAAACTACTGAGGTGATAGTGAATGGAGACCACTGAAATAGTAACAAGAAAATGCAGAGACTTTTAAAATGTTATTTTTGTTATTTTTAACATTTGCATTTTCAGTCATAGGGTCCAAGAGTGTCCATTTTGCCTAGTTGAAGTTGTACTAGTCTGATTTTTTCCCAATGACAATGAATAGTCAGGCTCGTGGTGGAAAATTAAGGATATGTTTGGATCCTAGCTTGTGTATAGTCACCTTACTGCTAATGTTAGGAGCTGATATTCTTGCTTCACTAATAAATGTGTACAGTATGTGATTACAAAAAATGGTAAGGATTGTCTTAAATATGATGAGCAATATTATTATGTTTTTCACTTTTAGCAATGATTGCCATAAAAATATATAGTAAACTTATTTTGTAAAGAATTCAATATTTTGCTCTGCCTAGGTGCATTGATGTCCGTAATATACAGGCGAGAGTTTCCACATTACTGTATATGATTATAATTGAATAGCATGGTAAAGTTTTGCAGAAAGAAATAGCTTTAAATTGAAGTAATAAAATTTGTAAATAGCTGGCAGATATTCCTGAGGTGCTAGTTCTCCTGTGTTGCATTCCGGTATTACCACTGCTTGTGAACTTTACCCTCTGTGGAGCCCCCAACCACCCACCCACCCCATGCTTGTAGTAAAGTCCAATAATGGCACCCATATAGTGTGTGCGTGCGTATGAATGTGCATATATACATTGTATATATATATATACACATGTACATGTGTGTATACACATGTACCTGTGTATATATATGCGTGTGTATACACTACACGTGTATATATACATTTAAATGTGTATGTATACAGGTACACATGCATATATACATGCACACATGTGCCTGCATACATAAACATGTATACACTATATATATACATAAATTTATATAAATTTTTAAATACCAGTGTGAAGCTTTGCGACTGGCTGGGAAAATGGATGTGATCATTGTGGACAAAAGGCATCAATAAAGTTGCTTCAGACGTTAAAAAGTGCCTTTTTCCCAAGACTTTTTCATTCCATATTATTGCTGGAAGATAACTACAAATTTGTCCCCAGGCATTATTTATTTAATTTGGCATTTTTTAAACTTTTATTAACAGGTTCACGTGAAAATTTTATTAGGTATATTATATGCATTGTCAAAAATGAGTATTGTATATTTTGTTTGCTTCCTGTCATACTAAATGTCATTGGTTTCGCACAAGCCTCTGTAAAGTGTACCGATTATTGTATTCAAATAAAGGTAAATATATACATTTGTCTTATGTATTTGCTATACATTGTAGACACTAGTGCTAATGTGTGTGCTTGAAAATATGCACGTGAAAAAATTATGCCGATTTGAGCAAGTGTTGGCATTTTATTTTTCTCCAAGTACAGTGCATACAATGTTCTTTTTTCACCTTTAACCCAACGAGGGTCCAGACCCCCAATATTAAAATTCCCCACAGGGTCTGAGAATTTAAAAAAAAAAAAATGAAACTAGAATCTTTTTCTGAAGGTACAAAAACTGCGAAATTTAAAAAAAAAAAATGATGAAATTACATTCTTGAGTTTTGTTGCTGGCGATATTTACGCATCAGCGATTTGGTCCACTTTGAGTCCTATTTTTGGCCAATTATGTTCCATTAGACTAAATTCTAGTATGTGTTCCATTTTCTTGTATATATTGAGCACAAGAAATTACCGAATCAACTATTTCAACTACCCAATAGTGATCAGAAATTGGTAATTTGGCCAATTTCACATTTCAAAGTAGGGTCCAGAATAAGCAATGCAGTCATTCCTGGCACTAAAATATTTCCTGTTTATTATTTGTTTCCAGGCTTTACACATGAATTCCATTTTGATTTTTTATTTGCAAAGAATTTTTATTCACACCAAAAAATATTTACTGTTATGCAACACTGAAATAATTGGATAAATATCAGCGCATTCGTGAACAAACATTAAACCCACCAGCTGACGTGTATTGGATGCATGTGATTTATTTTCTATAACATCGGCAAAAATCGAACATTCTTGCTACTTTGAGCTCAATTTCCAGTACTAAAACCAATCAAAATCATCTCAATATCTGTAATATATTTTTTTTTTTTTATCACACCGGCCGATTCCCACCAAGGCAGGGTGGCCCGAAAAAGAAAAACTTTCACCATCATTCACTCCATCACTGTCTTGCCAGAAGGGTGCTTTACACTACAGTTTTTAAACTGCAACATTAACACCCCTCCTTCAGAGTGCAGGCACTGTACTTCCCATCTCCAGGACTCAAGTCCGGCCTGCCGGTTTCCCTGAATCCCTTCATAAATGTTACTTTGCTCACACTCCAACAGCACGTCAAGTATTAAAAACCATTTGTCTCCATTCACTCCTATCAAACACGCTCACGCATGCCTGCTGGAAGTCCAAGCCCCTCGCACACAAAACCTCCTTTACCCCCTCCCTCCAACCCTTCCTAGGCCGACCCCTACCCCGCCTTCCTTCCACTACAGACTGATACACTCTTGAAGTCATTCTGTTTCGCTCCATTCTCTCTACATGTCCGAACCACCTCAACAACCCTTCCTCAGCCCTCTGGACAACAGTTTTGGTAATCCCACACCTCCTCCTAACTTCCAAACTACGAATTCTCTGCATTATATTCACACCACACATTGCCCTCAGACATGACATCTCCACTGCCTCCAGCCTTCTCCTCGCTGCAACATTCATCACCCACGCTTCACACCCATATAAGAGCGTTGGTAAAACTATACTCTCATACATTCCCCTCTTTGCCTCCAAGGACAAAGTTCTTTGTCTCCACAGACTCCTAAGTGCACCACTCACTCTTTTTCCCTCATCAATTCTATGATTCACCTCATCTTTCATAGACCCATCCGCTGACACGTCCACTCCCAAATATCTGAATACGTTCACCTCCTCCATACTCTCTCCCTCCAATCTGATATTCAATCTTTCATCACCTAATCCTTTTGTTATCCTCATAACCTTACTCTTTCCTGTATTCACCTTTAATTTTCTTCTTTTGCACACCCTACCAAATTCATCCACCAATCTCTGCAACTTCTCTTCAGAATCTCCCAAGAGCACAGTGTCATCAGCAAAGAGCAGCTGTGACAACTCCCACTTTGTGTGTGATTCTTTATCTTTTAACTCCACGCCTCTTGCAAGACCCTCGCATTTACTTCTCTTACAACCCCATCTATAAATATATTAAACAACCACGGTGACATCACACATCTTGTCTAAGGCCTACTTTTACTGGGAAAAAATTTCCCTCTTTCCTACATACTCTAACTTGAGCCTCACTATCCTCGTAAAAACTCTTCACTGCTTTCAGTAACCTCCTCCTACACCATACACTTGCAACATCTGCCACATTGCCCCCCTATCCACCCTGTCATACGCCTTTCCAAATCCATAAATGCCACAAAGACCTCTTTAGCCTTATCTAAATACTGTTCACTTATATGTTTCACTGTAAACACCTGGTCCACACACCCCTACCTTTCCTAAAGCCTCCTTGTTCATCTGCTATCCTATTCTCCGTCTTACTCTTAATTCTTTCAATTATAACTTACCATACACTTTACCAGGTACACTCAACAGACTTATCCCCCTATAATTTTTGCACTCTCTTTTATCCCCTTTGCCTTTATACAAAGGAACTATGCATGCTCTCTGCCAATCCCTAGGTACCTTACCCTCTTCCATACATTTATTAAATAATTGCACCAACCACTCCAAAACTATATCCCCACCTGCTTTTAACATTTCTATCTTTATCCCATCAATCCCGGATGCCTTACCCCCTTTCATTTTACCTACTGCCTCATGAACTTCCCCACACACTCACAACTGGCTCTTCCTCACTCCTACAAGATGTTATTCCTCCTTGCCCTATACACGAAATCACAGCTTCCCTATCTTCATCAACATTTAACAATTCCTCAAAATATTCCTTCCATCTTCCCAATACCTCTAACTCTCCATTTAATAACTCTCCTCTCCTATTTTAACTGACAAATCCATTTGTTCTCTAGGCTTTCTTAACTTGTTAATCTCACTCCAAAACTTTTTCTTATTTTCAACAAAATTTGTTGATAACATCTCACCCACTCTCTCATTTGCTCTCTTTTTACATTGCTTCACCACTCTCTTAACTTCTCTCTTTTTCTCCATATACTCTTCCCTCCTTGCATCACTTCTACTTTGTAAAAACTTCTCATATGCTAACTTTTTCTCCCTTACTACTCTCTTTACATCATCATTCCACCAATCGCTCCTCTTCCCTCCTGCACCCACTTTCCTGTAACCACAAACTTCTGCTGAACACTCTAACACTACATTTTTAAACCTACCCCATACCTCTTCGACCCCATTGCCTATGCTCTCATTAGCCCATCTATCCTCCAATAGCTGTTTATATCTTACCCTAACTGCCTCCTCTTTTAGTTTATAAACCTTCACCTCTCTCTTCCCTGATGCTTCTATTCTCCTTGTATCCCATCTACCTTTTACTCTCAGTGTCGCTACAACTAGAAAGTGATATATCTTCTGTAATATATCTTCCATAATATCAAAATGAGACCAAGAAACCGCGAATACAACCATAAAAAACATACGAAAATACACCACAGTCAGTTTTAATCCTAAAACTGTAGCAGTTTTTTTTCTCATTATGCACTGCATGCTGCAGGATTTTTTTTTATATAGGGCACACTTTACCACATAGATGCATTCTATCATATCTAGGCCCAGATTTACTGCTCACAAATTACGAGTGAGCTGAGCTCGTGGAGGGGCTCTTAATCCAGGGAGTTGGATCTGTGCTCAAATTCCTTGAATTAAGCCTGAATACCTTGCCGCCCCCCCCCCAACAGGTGCTGTATAATCCGAGTGAATTTAGTGCTCCCCCATAATTATAATTCTCCTTCTTTGGCCTGTATCTAACTGCCCATCAACTTCTCTCCCCCCTCCAAGCCAGGTCTTAAGGTATGAACTCTTGTTCTTACTTCCAGCAGTCGGATTTTATTCTTGCAATACAGTGGACCCCCGCATACCGTTGGCATCACATAACGTTTAATCCGCATACCGATACATTTTATCGCTAAAATTTTGCCTCGCATACCGCTTAAAAACCCGCTCACTGCTGTTCGTCCGAGACGCGTCCAATGTGCGCCCTCAGCCAGCCTCGCATGTGCCGCCCGTGCCATTGTTTACCAGCCAGCCTCCGTGGTAACATCCAAGCATACAATCGGAACATTTCGTATTATTACATTGTTTTTGGTGATTTTCTCTGGAAAATAAGTGACCATGGGCCCCAAGAAAGTTTCTAGTGCCAACCCTACAGCAATAAGGGTGAGAATTCCAAGAGAGATGAAAGAGATCATTGATAAGTATGAAAGTGGAGTGCGTATCGCCGACCTGGCCAGGTTGTACAAGAAACCCCAATCAACCATCGCTACTATTGTGGGCACCAGAAAGGCAATCAAGGAAGCTGTTCTTGCCAAAGATTTAACTGTGTTTTCGAAACAAAGATCGCAAGTGATGGAAGATGTTGAGACTTTTATTGGTGTGGATAAATGAAAAACAGCTAGCAGGAGATAGCGTCTCTCAAGCGATCATAAGCGAAAAGGCTAGGAAGTTGCATGAGGATTTAATTAAAAAAATGCCTGCAACTAGTGCTGATGTGAGTGAATTTAAGGCCAGCAAAGGTTGGTTTGAGAGATTTAAGAAGCGTAGTGGCATACATAGTGTGATGAGGCATGGTGAGGCTGCCAGTTCGGACCACAAAGCGGCTGAAAAATATGTGCATGAATTCAAGGAGTACATAGAAAGTGAAGGACTGAAACCTGAAGTGTTTAATTGTGATGAAACAGGCCTGTTTTGGAAGAAAATGCCAAGCAGGACCTACATTACTCAGGAGGAAAAGGCACTCCCAGGACATAAGCCTATGAAAGACAGGCTTACTTTGTTGATGTGTTCCAATGCTACTGGTGATTGCAAAGTGAAGCCTTTATTAGTGTATCACTCTGAAACTCCCAGACCGTTCAGGCAAAAGAATGTCCTCAAGGAGAATTTGTGTGCTGTGGAGGGCAAACAATAAGGCATGGGTCACTAGGGACTTTTTCTATGACTGGTTACACCATGCATTTGCCCCCAATGTGAAAGATTACCTAACTGAAAAGAAATTAGACCTTAAGTGCCTCCTGGTGTTAGACAATGCCCCTGGTCATCCTACAGACGT